AAATATATTAAATTGATATAAAAAAATTTATCTTAGATCATTTAATAAAAACACTAAATCTCAATTAATTAGTATAAAAGCTATCGAATTTATTGTGGAATAAAAAACCCCAAGGGTACAAAATACAAATCCCCTTTTTTTCCCACAAGGAAGGCTACAAGCTATTTTATTGTATTTCTTTTTCGACAAGAGATAATTTTGTGGTGGGCGTGTACTGTTCTTCTACCAGGTGCTATTAAACTTGAACTTGTTTGGGGTTAATCTGGTAATTTAATAACTTATAATTTAATACAAGCTAGATTTTAAATTAAATTATATATAAGTTAATATAATTAAACATGATCAATTTGATAATTTAATACATAACCTAATTAACTTATTAAAATTTAATTTAATTTTTTAATTATTTTTTAAAAAAATTAAACAACACTATTTTAAAGAACACTTTTCATGAACTTCCATCAAAGGAAGAAGTTCATGAACCATTGAACAATTCTATATTAAAGAATATGTTTTTTACTGCAAGATGATCCTATTTATAGCAATGGAACACAAAAAACGAGAGGAAAATAATTGACTCCCTTCCATGAATGCCGTTTATGAAAGCTAAGCCCCTATACAAGAAACTGGATGGCAAGGCATCTACAAATGGTACACGTTGTGAGCAATTGAATTCTAATCATTAGATTGTTTATAAATAAATAATTCAATTCTTAATCCGATTATCTTAAGATATTCTATCATGATTTCACTTGCACATTATGCTAATCGATCATCTGCTATTTTCTGCATCTTGGATAGTAGAGCCTTAAAATTAGTAAATAAAAATAAAAATATTGATAAAAAAACTTTTTATTGGTACATTGAGGTAAACTTTTATCAATCAAAATAGTTCATTGTTATGTCTCTTGATAAACAACAATATAAATTTTTTTTTGATACATATCAATAAAATTACAATGAAAAAAAATACAAAAAGATATAATAATGTGTTATTTTTACATATTAAAATATCAATGAAATAAACTCATTTATAATATTTGTTCGTGACTCTATTGATAATATTTAAGTTATGACCTGATAAACAATCCCTCCTTCCCCTCTTTTCTTCTTCCTCCTCTATTTTCTCTGTAAAAAATAGTTGATCCTCTTCCTCTATTTTATCACAAATCAACCTCTCATTACTATAAATTTGGCCATCTCAACACTTAATCTGTCATCATCACTATTTTTATTTAATTTTTTAAAGATTCCCTATACCAAGAAAGAAAAATTAACCATTTTTTGTTTGAACTCGATTTTAAAATATTAATTCTTATTATATATTTTTGTAATATATATAATTTGTTTATGTGTTTGCTTATTTTGTAGATTTTTCACATAGAAATTTATTATGTGAATATGAGTTTTACATATCACCACTATTTTTATTTAATTTTTTTAAGATTCCCCGTATCAAGAAAGCAAAATTAACTATTTTTTGTTTGAACTCAATTTCAAAATATTAATTCTTATTGTATGTTTTTATAATATTTATAATTTGTTTATGTGTTTGCTTATTTTGTAGTTTTTTCACATAGAAATTTATTGTGTGAATATGAGTTTTTCATGTTGGGGTTTATTTGAGATTTTAAAAAATTATATTTTTTTGTAATTTAATGAAATTGATTTTGATTTTGTGACTTGTGTATTTTGTAATGAAATAAAAAAATATATTATTTAATGGGTATGTTCTATATTTTATCTCTTTTATTATTGAATTGAAAATTTGGTAAATGTGTATGAATTTGAATATGTAGATAATTGATAATGATTTAAGAGTACTATTAAAATAGATTTAATAATTTTGAGCTAACCAATGTTAGCTAATTTATTTAGTCTATATAATTAATGAATATATGTTGTCATCAATATTCTATATATGTTTGATATAGATAATGGACGATTGTTTATGGATATATCAAGATTCACATGATAAATTGCATAAGATAGATTATTATAATGAGGTTAATGGTTTTATTAGTTACGCACTATCTAATCAGAGAAATATTAATGGACGTGGTATTAGATATCTATGTAAAAGGTGTAAAAAATAGTTTATCAATCCAGATGTTGTAATGATACATCTTCTATAAAAAGAGTTCACGGAGTACTATTTATATTGGTTTGCACACAAAGAAATATATGTTCCTCTCGAAACTATGGTAAAAAAAAATGATTAGGTTAACTTATATTTCTAGGAACATGTATAGAGTTGTACATGACAATAATAATCCTTATAGAAATATCATTATGGATGTGATGAAAATGAATAAACGTTATGCAAGTAAATGTTCAATCATAGATGAAGAACCAAATGAAGATGCAACTAACTTTTTTTTATCTTTTGAAAGATTCTAACGAACCATTATAGGATGGGTACACAAATCATGGTAAATTATCAGTTGTTGCACAAGTGTTCACCATCAAGTCAGATTATGGGCTAAGTAAGGTTGATTATAACAAAATTATTGAATTGACAAGAAGTATTTTACTTAAAAGGAATAAAGGGCTTCTAAGTCTAGGATACTAGAAAATTAACATGTGTCCAAACTTCTACATGTTGTACTACCTTGAAAATACAACTTTGATTGAGTATAGATTATGTGAGCATGCTCATTATAAACCTAAAATTGCCAAATGAAGAAATCTTGTCACACATAACAAAACTTAGATAATTCGTAATCACTCCTAGACTACAAAGGTTATTCATATCTTCAAAAACTGCTGAGCATATGACATGACATCATTCATATGATATGATGGATGGAGTTATAGTGCACTCATCCAATGGTGAAGCCTAGAAACATTTTAATAGGGTGCATCCTTAATTTTTAATGAAATCAAGGAACATACGTCATAAGTTATGTATAAACAGATTCAATCTATTCAGGTCATTTACTGCTCCTTAATTTTGTTAGCTGGTGATACTCACAGTCTACAACTTGTCACATGAGATATGTGTGCGGCCATAATTCATGTTTCTATCTATGATCACAACCAATCCTAATAGTCCAAGTTAGAATATAAATGTTTGTCTTTGACTATTGACTTTGAGATGAGAACTTTGAGATGAAAGATCAATGTCAGGATTAAACAATGATAACAACAAATATCAAGGTTAAAAGATTCATTAATGGTATTTCAAACAAGTATAGTATAAACTCTTATTATTCAATTAGAAACCATACACAAAAGAGGTTCCAAGCAGATTATAAATTGTTAACATGATGACATTAGTTATCTTATTCGAATAATGCTAATACTTGTAAATATTGTCAGGTATTTATGATTATAACTTATGTTAACAACAAATCAAGTTCCTTTCATAGCATAAGTGTTGGTTACATCATACGGTTGAGCTATTAAAGTGTCAAGTATTTGTTGTACCAAGTGTTATACAATGTAAATCTAAATTAACCAATTTAACAAGCAAAGTATTAAGAGTGAATAAGATAACAAATACAAAATATGTTAGTATCAAACATTAAAGTCCAAGTTGAGTTTACAATATACTTATTCTTACACTATTAGTATAACCTTTTCACCTTGACATAATAAACTTAACTAAACATAATGTAAGAGAGAAATATAAATAAACAAGATAAGGACATAAATAAGATAAAAGTTAACTAAGTAAAGGAAAGGAAATGAAAGACATAAACAAGATATTAATGAAAGTAAAACTTAAGTATCACAAAAATACAAAGAGAGAAAGTAAAAGTATAATCTTTATTTAGAAACTAAGATGCTTAAATGCATGGCAACTACCTCCCTTTATAGGTCAAAATTGAAAACTATTGATTTGATGACTAATTGATGAGTGGTTGGTCGACTTTTGATATAGTAACAATCTTTATCTTCTTGCCTAAATAAAACATCATTGATAATGTCAGAATTTGAACTAGACTTCCACATGAAAGTTTTAGAAAATTATCTCAGTTTCCAGAAAAAAAAAATTAAGATTATTTGGACTTCTAGAACTCGAGATATGGGTTAAATACTGAACAATATTTGGGTTGCAGGATAGATTTACAATTTTACGTTGTTACTAAGATTTGGACTTACAAACAACATAATCGAGTCTTAACTTTCTATGAAAGTTTAAGGTCTATTTATTAGTTTTCTATCCATATAAAGTTGACCTAAATTTGAGATTTACAACTTCAGATATAACTTAATTATTGAATAGTGTTCCAGTTTGGACTGCACTAACATTTTTTTTTCTAAATTTGACCCTTTCTTTGTCCTTTCAATTTCAATACTTCAACTTATTTATCAATTCTTTTATTTATATGATGAGCCTATATTTAAAATAAATATTTACCATAAAGTAAAAGTACCTTATAATATCAAACTTGTTATTATAAAATATACTTTAATTAAGAAGTTATTGATACTTTAAATATAAAATAATAATATAAATTTTTAATAAAAATATATTTTTAAGTATTAATTAATAAATTTGAATGCTTAGCTTGATCCCACGAGCTATTAGGTGCTTATTCAACACCTGTGCTTGAATATATAACTGAAACCCACGAGATGTTGGTTAGTTGCTTGCTGGCACCTAAGGTTTAGGTTCTTAGCTCCAACCCACACGAGGTGTAAGATATGAATCCAGTAATTAGATACATGACTATTGTAATCTTCTTGTAAAAGTGAATGAATATCTTTAAAACAAATATAAAAAAAAAAATCGCATTTTTACCTGCATCGTAGGTTTTCAAACATGTTAACCTCCGATTCTTAATTGGGAATAAAAAATCACCTTGACGTAACAATCTTTGATAAGACACTGCTGTTATTAATATCTATAAATAGTAAATACTAGTAGAGAGTGGTGTTTTGCTTGCAAAGATAACCATAATATATTAGAAATCGAATTTTGAAGAAGAAAAAATAAATTCTTTGTGAACGCAAAAGGGGGTTGCAAGCATCAGTCATTTTCTAAAGAGCCCTGACCATTTTGTCTCAAGTTGGCCCTTCCTTTGCTCCACTCTTTAAATCCCCCACCAGTCGTCCATTCTGCTTACCTCTCCAAAGATCCAGCCCCAACTTACCCCTCTGTAAAGGAAAGATAGAGATGGTGGGTTCCTCTTACTCTCCTCTCCTCTCCTTTTCTTTTCTTCTCTTTTGTTTGTTAATTAGTTATTGCTTCGCAGTTCGCGCTCCCTCTTCATGGCTGGTTTTCTTTATTCATATCAAAAAGAAAAAAGAAAACAAATATCATACTATTTGCTTTCGATCTCTCTTTGGCTCCTGATGATTGTCACGGGTTTCTTTCTTTTTCTTGTTTCTTGGTATAGGAACTGGAACACCAGCCGACCAGATGGGAGGGCTATGTGGATTGGAGAAACAGGCCTGCACTTCGTGGCCTCCATGGTGGCATGCTTGCTGCTTCCTACGTCTTGGGTCTGTATCACTGATCTTCAATAATGGATTTTTTTTTTTGAAAGTCTTTTTCTATACCTGATTAAATACACCGATTACTATGTTCAAGAAACCGCATTAATTATGTTATTATACAATGATCGATAATTATGTAGGTGTGGAGATATTGGAGAACCTGGCGTATCTAGCAAATGCTAGCAATTTGGTGATATATTTATCTGAGTATATGCACTTATCTCCATCCAAATCGGCCAATAATGTCACGAATTTCATGGGGACGTCCTTTCTTTTGGCCCTTCTTGGAGGTTTCCTGGCTGATACTTTTTTCACTACCTATCACATCTTCCTGATAAGTGCAGCTATTGAATTCCTGGTAATTGCAGTCTGTGCTCTCTCTCTCTCTCTCTCGGGTGGGGTGGGGCTGTTTGAAACCTATTTACTTGTCTAATTAACTCTCTAGACGGACCGGACTGTCTTCTACTCTCACCTTTAGCCCTTTGTTTTTACTGGAAAACAAAAACATATATTGCATCTTCGACTCATGATCACGTCCTGACTAAAACCAGCTGCTGACTGTAACAAATGCCTCCTTACAACAACTGCAAGATAGATCATGAATTTTTTAGAATATTTCGTTAATTAATTAATTTCTCGATTAGCTGGCTCTATAACTTGATTCTTGCATCGTTCCTAAGATTGAGGAATAATACCACCCTAAAAAACCCATACCGTCAAGGAAAAGGAAGGTTCTTCTTAAAAGAAAAACAGTGCCCAAGAGTGGGCGGCTAAGAAGACGCCGCTATAGTTGGATGGCTTGAATTCATTTCATTAATTTTCTTGAATCATTTATCCAGTAGGGAATTGACTTTGGCATATACGTAATTGAATTGAAACACTATAATATCCACAAGGACTTCTCTCTTATAATTTCGGATAGTGATCCTTCGAGAACACGGTAACTAGCGGGGCAGTGGGCACATCTAACAAGGCATAGCCCTTGAAGAACGAGGAGCAGTTTGTCAGTTTGTAGAACTAGAACTTGAGCTCTCTCGCCCTAGTTCCTTAAATTGGGGTTTGATTAAATGACCATGATGACTCCTCTTCTTGTGTCAGAGGAAGATTATAGCCAAAAAACATAAATGATCTTGTTGCAACGTGAAACGTAGAAACTTTATTACCTATGTATTTTCATTCTAGATAGCATTACAAATCTATAAATCCTATCAATCTAGTTTTGATTTTTTAGTTATTTCTCAGCTTTATCTTTTTTTGGTCAATTCTTATTAATAACTTGAGCCTAATTTTACATATTTTTATGGGTTGTAGGCGATGTAATTATAATTAGTTTTTAAATAATATTTTGTGTCAAATACATGTTAATAATATTTTTATTATTTTTAAAAAAATTATTTTAAATATTTAAATATTTTAAAATACTAAAAATATATTAATTTAAAGTTAATAAAAAAATAAAAAAATTTAAAATATTTTTAAAATACAGAAATAAATAAGTCTACGCATTACAAATTAATTTATAAATTTCATCAACTTTATTCGAAGCATTTCCAACATTTTTCAATTTAATAGTTTCGGCCTATTATGCATGTTTATCCACCAAGGCAGTATCAATTTATCGAATAAAATAAGAATGATAATCAAGAATGTTTTAAGATCAAATTGATATTATTTACAAGTTGTAAGGCTTGAACAGAGAGAATTAACCGTGTTTTAATCAGGCGCGGGACCAGACAACACGTTCCTCATTCAACGTGTCCAATAGGAGCAGTCGTATTTCCTAGTGTAGGGACCCGCAAATAAACCTTGTGTCTTTGCTAGGACAAGGATAAATAATTTCCTTGGCTCGATAGGCAGTATCTTATCTTATTTCCTTTGCTTGCTCATAAAAAGGTCACAAATTTTGTGACCTACGTGCCAAAGTGTCACATCATTTGCTACGCTACGTGCACCTCAATTTCTGAATGCTGCCTTCAAGTACGGTCCTTGTCTTTAGATATGCCAATTTGGGTCTGCCAATGGCTAACCAGCCGTTATATGGCATCCTTTTACTCCCTTGCCCCTCCGTTCTGCTGATGGTGCCTCACATCTGACCTTCTTTATAGGTAACTCCCTCTTCGTCGCGTGTCGGTAGTCTTCGTGAAATTAATTTTAATTGACGTTGTGCTTAACAGCTGTAATATTAATTAAATTTAGAATGAATTGGTCACCTTGTTATTTAAATTTCATGATTGGTTAATGCAAAAAATAAATTATAATTATTGTGTGAATAATATTTTTTTAATTTTAATTAGAACCTGTTTTTTAATTTTTAAGTCTGATAAAAATATATATCTTAGCTCATAAAATATATTTTAATTTTTTTCTATAAAATTATAATTCTTATATAAAATACTTGACTGGTTTTATATAACTAGATTAATTGAATAAAGAATTAAAAATAATAACAGTCAATAAATGCTGCACGTGAAGAGATGACAATATTATATTTCAGCGAATCTATCTTTTAAAATGATATTATTCTTTCCAAATTTTTATCTTAATGTGATAAATTTTTGTTTTAAAAACTCCCGGAATCGTTGTGTTTGAACTATGAAGTTGACTTCTACCATAACGTCATCATCTATAATTTATCAGCGTGAAAGTTGATGCGGCCATCAACACGTGCTAGGGACCCTCTTTCTTTTTTTTCGTTTTTTTTTTTTTCTCTGTCGACTTGCCCTTTAAATTCAAATACTCGCTCGCTGGTGCGTCGTCACTGGCAGGTGAAGTTAGCCAGTTTCGGCATATTGGATCTGGATGGCTAACTATGGTCACTCCCTCGGTATCCTTAAACCTTGGTATCTCAGGGATAAAAAAAAACCGGGTTCCGTGAAATACCCGATCAATTCAGATAATTCACGCAAAAAAATCCCGGTCGGGTAAAAGGAAAGGAAATTCGGATATTTCGATTAATTACTCACATCTATTTAATTAATAAGTAGTATTGGAGAGGAATTAGCTCGAAGAAACACAAACATAATATCCGGACAATATCTGATGTAGGCTTTTTGTAAGTCTGGAACAGGGCTTGGTGATACTGACAGTGCAAGCTCGGTCATCTTCCCTGAAGCCCCCAGCTTGTAACCCAAGCAACCCCACAATCCCATGTCAACAAATTGATGGTGCGAAAGCAGCAATGCTGTTCACAGGCCTTTATCTGGTGGCGCTTGGCGTTGGAGGGATAAAAGGATCATTGCCGGCTCACGGGGCGGAGCAGTTTGACGAGAGCACTCCTCAAGGAAGGAAGCAGAGATCGACCTTCTTCAATTACTTTGTCTTCTGTCTCTCATGTGGAGCCCTGATCGCAGTCACATTTGTTGTGTGGGTTGAAGATAACAAAGGGTGGGTGTGGGGCTTTGGAATCTCTACCATTGCAATACTCCTTTCTATCGCAATCTTTCTTGCTGGATCAGCAGCTTACAGGAATAAAATACCTTCTGGCAGTCCACTTGCAACCATTTCCAAGGTAAATTAAGCTTCTGAAGTGTGTGTGTGTGTGTGTGTGTGTGTGTGTGTGTGTGTGTGTGTGTGTGTGTGTGTGTGTGTGTGTGTGTGTGTGTGTGTGTGTGTGTGTGTGTGTGTGTGTGTGTGTGTGTGTGTGTGTGTGTGTGTGTGTGTGTGTGTGTGTGTGTGTGTGTGTGTGTGTGTGTGTATTATGCGTACATATCCAAAGTAACTATGGAAAGGAGTTCATTTATACAAGAAGCCAGAGATGCGGAAGAACTGTGTGATCCACATATGTGCTCCCTGGTGGCCACCACTCAAACTTGCCATGGCCGTCAGACAGTTTTGAATGGTTATACAGTCTCTATACCATATGCAGCTAATCACCTGTTAATGGATTTGATTGAACAGGTTTTGGTTGCTGCTGGAGTTAACACTTGTATGAGCAGAAGTTCAGGCAATGCCATTTCAAGCCTGACAACGAGCCCTTCCAATCCAAATCCAACCAGCAAGGATGCAATAGATAATTCCATAGCAGTTATGCCTGCTGAAACCCCAACAAAAAGCCTCGAATGGCTTAACAAAGCGGTGGTAAACAAGCCAATCCACTCAGCACTAGAATGCACTGTAAAGCAAGTGGAAGAGGTCAAGATTGTGATAAAAATCTTTCCCATATTTGCTTGCACCATCATGCTCAATTGCTGTCTTGCTCAGCTTTCCACGTTTTCTGTACAACAAGCTGATACCATGGACACCGAACTCGGTTCCTTGAAAGTCCCGCCAGCTTCCCTTCCCGTGTTTCCTGTGGTCTTCATTATGATGCTAGCACCCGTTTATGACCACCTCATCATTCCATTCGCTGGGAAGTTAACCAAGTCTGAAATGGGAATCACTCATCTGCAACGAATTGGCATCGGATTGGTTCTTTCCATAATAGCAATGGCAGTGGCAGCTCTTGTTGAGATTAAGAGGAAGAGAGTTGCTGCAAATTCAGGGCTAGTTGACAAATTGCCAATTACGTTCTTCTGGATAGCCTTTCAGTATTTATTCCTAGGATCAGCTGATCTTTTCACCTTGGCAGGGTTGTTGGAATTTTTCTTCACCGAGGCACCCGCAGGAATGAGATCTTTGGCTATGTCTCTCTCTTGGGCCTCCCTGGCAATGGGGTACTACCTCAGCTCAGTGATTGTATCAATAGTTAACAATGTTACAGGTAACTCCAAGAATAGGCCATGGCTATCAGGCACGAACATCAACCACCATCATCTGGAACGATTCTACTGGCTCTTGTGTGTGTTGAGTGTTCTGAATTTCTTACATTACCTTTTCTGGGCCACCCGGTATAAGTACTCAACAAGAATCAAGAACTAAATCGAAGTGATAAAGGAGAACAAGTAATTGCTTCTTCATACCACATCAAACGGTCTTGCTCAGCATCTCGAAATCCAAATCTCCCGGCTGAATATATACAAGAGCAGCTGCCGGACTTGATTACAGTCCGGCTAATTCATGCTGATTGCTGTTGCGGGTTCCTGTTTCCTGCCTAGGTTAAAAAGACTTGGACAGAAGAAGATGGGGTGTGGTACCACAGCATGTACAATATTTTGAACTGATTTAGTTGTTTATGAATTGAATTACACTCTTGTGGCTACCGAATCTAAGTAACTTAACAAACAATAATCATAATTAATACGTAGTAAATTAAACAACAAGAACAAGAAAATCTTAACAAATGCAATATGTGACAGGTACAGCAACACTTGCATCCATAGGAACTTGAAGGAAACTAGGACTCATTTGCCATTACAGCGATCAACTATGTTGAAACAGGATATGACGTCGTGGAACATTCTCTAGACAAATAATAATTACTAACATAATTGTAAATGCCTAGTTAGGGTCCATTTGTTTTATGTGGCTGAGTTTTGTCCCAATCTCCTCTTCATAATTTATAAAAAAAATTAATTTATTCTTTTCAAACTATAATAGTCAAAATTACCATAATAACAATAGATGCACGCTTACCCTGATACATGTGGCTTCGTACTCTTAAGGAATTGTTACGGCCAGGACACGTTTGATGGACGCTGTGATCAAGGACGAATTCAATATATTCTGCTCCTATCCGTTAATAATATAAAAAATTCAGTCCCTTTTCTGTAAAAGTTTTCAATTTAATTCCAGCAAATTAGATTAAGAAAAAACTAAAATTGTTTAGCCTTTCACTGTAGCTGAGCTGTTTCTTTTTTTTTCTTTTTTTTTAGCTGTTTTTTTTAACTATTTTTTTTGTTTTTTTTGTTTTTTATGCCTTTAAGTTTTTTTTTTTGTTTTTTTCTTTTAATAATTTTTTTAATTTAGTTTTTTAATATTAATTTTTTTATTTAGTTATCAAACTTTTATGACATTGATCCCCGAGTTTAAAAGGTTAATTTGGTTTAACGAGTTAACTCATATTTTTTTTTTAATTAATTTTTTTGTTTATTTTAGTTTGTTAATGTTAAATTTTTTTTTATTTAGTTATTAGACTTTCATGACACAAATCTCGGGGTTAACGGGTTAACTTGATTTGACGAGTTAACCCAGAGGTTTTTTCTGTTTGTTTTCTTTTTAATTAATTTTCTTTGTTTAGTTTAGTTTATTAATATTAAATTTCTTTATATTTAGTTATCAGACTTTCATGATACATATCTCAAGTTTTACGGATTAATCTGATTTTACATGTTAACCCCGTTAATTATAGGTTAACCCATCCATTTTTTTTCTTTTTTTTTCTTTTGTTAATACTAAATTTTTTTATTTAGTTATCAAACTTTCATAACATAAATCCTGGGTAAACGAGTTAACCTGGTTTGACAAGGTAACCCGAAGTTTTTTTTTTACTTTTTTAATTAATTTTTTCCGTTTAGTTTAGTTTGTTAATGTTAAATTTTTTTCTATTTAACTATCAGATTTTCATGACACATATTCCGAGTTTGACAGGTTAACCAAGTTAATTCTGGGTTAACCTGTTAATTTTTTTCTATTTAATTATCATACTTTCATGACGTGAATTCTAGGTTTGATAGGTTAACCTGATTTGAAGGGTTAGACTAGTTAATTTAGATTTTTTTTTCTTTTTATTCATTACTTGTTTCCTCTTAGAGCTTTTTTTTCTTTTTTTATTTTTAATTAATATTTTTGTTTAATTTAGTTCATTAATATTAAATTGTTTTCTATTTAGTTATCAATTGATGTCTATAGTTTTGTGTTTTTTTCATTTTTATGTCTTTGACTCTGGACTGCACAGTGCAATCTACAGTGAAAAGGCTAATGTGTTTTTTTTTTTTTTTTTACTTTTTAATTTTTTAAAACATTTTGGTTTGTTTATTTTAAATTTTTTTTTTCTATTTTGTTATAAGACTTTCAAAACATGGATCTCATGTTTAACAGGTTAATCTAGTTAATTCAGATTTTTTTTCTTTTTCTTCATTAGTTTTTTTCTTCCTATAGGTTTTTTTTTTTTTTCTTTTTTATTTTTTAATTTTTTAAAACATTTTGGTTTGTTTATTTTAAATTTTTTTTTTCTATTTTGTTATAAGACTTTCAAAACATGGATCTCATGTTTAACAGGTTAATCTAGTTAATTCAGATTTTTTTTCTTTTTCTTCATTAGTTTTTTTCTTCCTATAGGTTTTTTTTTTTTTTTTCTTTTTTATTTTTTTAAAACTTTTTGTTTTTTTTTTTTTTTTCTTTTAATCCAGTTAGTTTTTTATTTTTACTTTGTTGCCTTTTTATGCCATTGACAGTTCATAATGAAAACCAATACCCTTTTTTTTTGTTTTCATTTTAAATTAATTATTTTTGTTTATTTTAGTTTGTTAGTGTTAAATTTTTTTATATTTAATTATCAAACTTTCATAATATGGATCTTGGGTTTAACAGGTTAGCTCAGTTAATTCTAAGCTAACACGTCAATTTTTTATTTTTTTTTAGTTATCAAACTTTCACGACATGAATACAATGTTTGACAGGTTAACCTAGTTTGAAAGGTTAACCCAGTTAATTCAGATTTTTTTTCTTTTTCTTCATTAGTTATTTTCTTCATGTTGATTTTTTTTTCTATGTTTTTTTTTACCTAATCTATTTAATTATCATACTTTTATAATATGACCTTGCAGCTAGACCCACATCCAAGGTTATTGGATTTGATATTGCAGCCAAACTCACTTAAATTTGAATTATACAAGTTTAATATTATTATTAATATTATAAATATTACTCTTAGGTCAGGCGTTGTAGCCAAACCTAAGACTCTTGAATATAGCTTTGCAGAAAGACTTAATACTTTTAGATCTTAATTTTTTTGATATTTTTTATACAAAAAAATTGACCCGCGACATCGCGCAGGTCATCTAACTAGTACATAGTATTTGTCGTCATGAATTTTCCTCCAGGACACTTACTGTTTGTTTTGGTTCAAAATTTTTTATTTTTATCCTTAGAAACCTAATTTTTGTTTAAAATGGAAATGGAATTACATAGTACTAGAAAAGTTTGCAAATATAAACAAAACACTAATTAAATTTTTTTGTTGGTAGATTGAGTGAATTTTACCAATAGATTTTTCCATCATTATATCTGACGGTAAACACCGAGGGGATTGCAATGGAAAAAAAAAGGTTAGAAAAATACAATGGCATGTAACTTTTACCAATGATTTTATCGATAAAATTAACCCAACAATAAAGTTTGTCTGTAACTATACCGATAAAAATAATCTCTCGGTATATATAGAAGGAATTATGGATGGTATTATAGTGGGATTTAAAAAGGCAAATCATATTGTAGCATGATATTTTTTACTGATAGAATGTCTGATATAATAATTATGTATGTATATCCACTAGTAATATTTCATTTATGACTTGGTAATCAACCCTCCCCTCTCCCTCCTCCATTTTTCATTTCTTTTTAATGCAATTTTTCTTGCACAAACAACCACTCCATCCCCCCCTCAATCTCAACACAACTCACCTCCCACAAAATCTGATGACCACAATACTCGGTTTATCAGCATCCATGTTCTACAAATTTTATTAAGGATTTTCCGCTTTAAATAAGCAAATCTATCTTTTTTTTTATATAATTTTTAAATGTTTTTTTTATATTTTTGTAGTATATATATTTTATTTGGGTGTTTATTTGTTTTATAGTTTTTTCTCATACAATTTTGTTGTATGGATTTACGATTTGTTGTATGGATTTACCATTTGTACATGTTATAATTTGTTTGTATATTGATGAAACTTATCTCAAATTTTTAATGTTGATATTTTATGATGAAATAAATAATAGCTTATTTAATTATTTCATTTTATATTTTTTCAATTTAATGGTTGAGTTGTAATTTTGGGTAAATGTGTAGAAATATGAATTCGTGTAGTTATATAACTAATAATGAATTAAGAGAATTAAGAGAACTATTAAAATTAGCAGATTGGTTGCTTGAAGATCACTATTCATTTAAACTTGCTGTTCTGTGATTAGTATTTAAAAGTGCAATTTCATCAAGGTTTTATATTAACATCTTGCACTTGAAGAATTAATAACTCCTTAACTAAAACATGTTTTATACTAACAAATCTGATACTATAAGATACCTTTAATGTATGGTATATTAATAGCTGCATTAAAATGAACATTTATCATAAATTAAAGGTATCTTATATTATTAGATATGTTAGTATAAAACATGTTTTAGTTAAGGAGTTATTGATACTTCAAGTGCAAAATAATGATATAAAACCTTGATAAAAATGCACTTTTAAGTACTAATCACACCCCCTAATCAGTTTATTACTAGTCCCTAGTAATCAAAACATAAAAATAGAAAAACAATTTGCAAATTCCACAAAGCAAGATATTCATTATTCAACTTGTATTAATCTATCTAGATAAACAAACTCTCATTAAATTTATATATCTGCTCAATACCTCTTAAACAAAATATTAATATACTTTTCTTTTGTGCTCAATAAATCAACACATAGTTATGGGGCTTTACTTGGAAGAAAACAAAATTCTTCTTCTAATGTTTAAAGTTAACTTCCTTGGGTTGAGATTTTTTTTTTTGTTTTTTTAAATATGTATACATGTAACTTAAAACACAACGCATCTTTAACCCATGTAATGAGCTTTCAGCTAATGACTCCCAGACCAATTGGTCTTAGGACATTAGATATTAAGACATCCCTACGAGCTTAATAACTCAGGTTACATATACTAATACGTAGATAGTGCAATGTTTGATTCTCTTAAGCTTTTCTCCTCAACTTATGTAACAAGTGTTGAGCTAATAGCTCCTA